CCCCCGTAGCTTTGTAATAGAGTTTGAAGTTTGGTATTGATATTCCTCCAGTACTGTTCTTTCTGCTAAGGATTGTTTTTGCTATTCTGAGTCTTTTATTGTTCCATATGAATTTTTGGATTGCTTTCTCTAGTTCATTAAAGAATGAGATTGAGATATTGATGGGTATTGCATTGAATTTGTAGATAGCCTTTGGCAGTATTGTCATTTTCACAATGTTAATCCTCCCAATCCAGGAGCATAGTTTTTCCACTTTCTTAGTTCTGCTTTAATTTCCTTTTTTTAAAAAAAGTTTTCTTCATAGAGGTCTTTCACTTCTTTAGTTAGCTCCTAGGTATTTTATTTTTTTGGGGGGGGCTATTACAAAAGGATTTGCTTTCCTGATTTCAGCCTTGTTCTTCTCATTATTGGCATATAGAAAAGCCATTGATAATCCTTCCTTTGAGTTAGAAAGAAACAGCTTGGTTAAGACGTGGGCGTTTCTGTTTTCAGAAGGCTCAGAGGCCCTCCTCCTTCCCTTACGGGTCCCATGGTTTGAAAACCATGATTTGGAACCCTCTTTTTAACAGTAGGTGAGAGGCAAGTTAGAGTAAAAGGTGCAGTTGGGAGGTTGAGGCAGGAAAATAGCAAATTTAAGGCCAACATAGGTTGTAGACTGACTTAAAAAAATTAAAAAGTGGAAGTTGAGCCCTGATGCCTCCAAGGTACTCAGGTGGCTGAGATCTGAGGATTGCAATTTGAAGTTGGCCTACAAAAAGCCTATGAGAGGGGCTGGGAAGGTGGCTCAGTGGTAGAGTGCTTGCCTTGCATGCACGAGGCCCTGGGTTCGATTCCCCAGCACCACATAATCAAAAAGAAAAAAAAGCCAGAAGTGGCGCTGTGGCTCAAGTGGTAGAGCGCTAGCCTTGAGCTGAAGAGCTGAGGGACAGTGCCCAGGGCCCAGAGTTCAGGCCCCATGACCGGACCCCCCCCCAAAAAAAAAAAAGCCTATGAGACTCTTAATTCCAATGAAACAGCAAAAACCTGGAAGTGGAGCTGTGCCTCAAGGGCTAGAATAGTATCAGCCTTGATTGTCAAAGCCAAGCAGGAGCTAGAGGCGCCGAGTTCATGTCCCACTACTGACACAAGTTAAAAAGAAGCTGAGAATTAGATGTTCAGGACATAGTTGGCTGAGGGCTGTGAGGTCAAAGGGCTCCATCATCCACCTGCTTGGAGAAGGACTGCGGTGTGGTGTTGGTGAACTTGATTATCTAGGTGAGGAACAGCATAGAGATCATTGTTCTTCTGTGACTTTTTAAAAGCTTTTCTCCCTTCACCAAGTTCACATCACCAGCTCCCCTGTTTCCAAACTTCCTATGCCCCCTGGCACCCTGATAATATAAGCGAGATGACAAACTGGACTCTTAGACCTGTCTCAGGAGGGAGAATGAGGCAGGTGGTTACTCTGATGAAGCTGCACTGCATCCAGACACAGATCTGTTGAAATCAAGCCCCCTTAGCCCTCTCACTGGTGCTTACAAGTGAACGCACTGATTTCCTCACAGCTCTTTCTGAGCAGTAGCTCCTTGTAGGTCCCTTTTCTCCAGAGGCCCTCGTTCCTTCCTGCAAGGTCCTTTCCCTATTCCCAGTGTCCGCCACCGGGTTGAGAGCTCCCCTCCCCTCCTCGTCACTGTCCTTCCTGCTTTCCTCCATTGAGATTTCAAGCCTGCAATGCCCAGACCTGTTCTCTGCCACCACCCCATTCCTTCAAACAACTGTATCTTTACCAAATCCAAAAACTGCTCCCCACCCTTCGGGCTGCTGACCAAAATTGGTCCTATTGAACTTACCTCTGAGCCTGAAGACATATCAACATGTAGTGTACCCAGCTTTACAAAGCTGAACCATTCACGGTACTGATAATCTACTGGTTTTAAGCCAGAAAGGCTACTCATTACGGATACAATGCTTTGCTTAGTCTTTTTGAAAAGATTTTTGGTTCAAGTCCCCACTCTTCTGCTATATTTTGTGGTATTGCGGGGGGTTGAACCCAGGGCCCTGTGAATGCTAGGCAAGTGCTCTGACACTTGAGCCATAACCCAGTCTTCAAGTATTTATAAAACATGGTTTTGATGGGATATGGTGGTGTATGCAGAAATCCCAGCACGTAGGTATTTGAGGCAAGAGGATCTGGAGTTTAATGTCAGTCTGATCTATGTAGTGAGACTGTTTAAACAACAACAACAGCAAGCAGTCTTGGGGTTGTAGAGTGCTTGCTTATCATATGCAAGGCCCTGGGTTCCATCCTCCAGCAGGTTTAGTAGTTTTTTTGTTTTTTCTTTCTTGGTACTAGGGCTTGAATTCAGGGTTTCATGCTTTGTAGGTTTGCTTGTTCAGCTGGTGCGCTACTACTTGGTTCATGCCTCTTGTTCACCTTTTTGCTGCTTATTTTGGAGATGGAGTCTCAGGGTGTTTTCTGCTCTCGTTGGCTTTGAACCACAATCTTTAACTCTTCGACTTCTGATAGGTAGGATTACCAGGGTGAGCCACTGGCTTAAAGCTTGGTTTTCTGTACTTCTGACCCTCAGACCAATGAAGCCTGGATCTATGTCTAGATCCCCAGAGAAGGCTTTTGATGTGGTGAATTTACTTGTATAGAGAAACATTATAACTTGGCCTATCATGACTAGACTCAGGTTAAAAAGTTCTGTTCTTAGAAAATATATCTTAAGGATGGGGAATGTGGCTTAATGGTAGAGTGCTTGCTTAGCATGCATGAAGCCTTGGGTTCAATTCCTCAGTACCACATAAACAGAAAAAGCCAGAAGTGATGCTATGGCTCAAATGGTAGAACACTAGCCTTGAGCAAAAGAAGCTCAAGTCCCAGGATTGGTTAAAAAAAAGAAAAGGAAATATATCTTAACTTTTTTTTTTTTTTTGGGTCCAGTCATGGGGCCTGAACTCTGGGCCTGGGCGCTGTCCCTCAGCTCTTCAGCTCAAGGCTAGCGCTCTACCACTTGAGCCACAGTGCCACTTC